GCATTCTGTGGTTTTTTGCCCTCTCCTAGACTCGAACTCTGCACCCCGAGCAAAATGGTTCACCTATTATTCTGGAGATATATTCCTTCCATAAATAAGAAGCATTTTTTTTTTATTAATATCTGAAAGGGATTTCATGCGCTAATTAAGGGGAGGACCGTTTGATTTGTATGGAAACTAACTTGAGGCATTTCCCTAATTAATTCCCACGCTTTAGGTATAAATGCGATTAATTTTATTTGATTCAAAAAGTTGCAATTTTCACGATTGTTGTAAACACAAAAATTTTCCTTATTCAATCGCAATTTTTTTAGCATTAAATGTGTTATGAAGACCAAAACTATCGCTCATTATATATAACTAATATGTAACCCGTGCGATGCACGGGCTAGTACATGTTTTGGAAAAAATTAAAAAGGTCATTAATTAATAAGTTATTATAATACGTATGACGTTCATAAAGTAAATATAAAATCGTCATTGGTAAAAAGTTCTACATTATTAAAAACCTTCTTATATACAACGTTATTAGTTTGATTACTGAGTAACTCATCGTCCCCACAAACTAATATTTTCAACCCCTTCCTATTAGTAACACGTGAAACAACGACGTATAATTGACCATGACTAAAAACAGTTTTTTTCAAGAATAGTCCAACATGTGATAAGATTGATCCTGACTCTTGTTTATGGTCATGGGCCATGGCATAGGAAACCATAAGGGGAAATTGCCTCCGCTGGAACTTAAACGGAACCCTAACATCAGAAGAAGTTATGTTCATCCGAGGAATCAACACCTTCTCACCTGCGTGATCTCCAGTCAATATCCTACATTCAAGAACATGTGGATAGAGTTTCGTAACAACCAAACGTGTGCCATTACACAGACTCATAGAATGGTCCATGTATCGCAACAACATGATCGGAGTTCTTATCTTCAAATGCAACTCATGGTTCGGCGTTCCCGAACACTTAATGTTATTCCAGAACTCGGGTGTGTGGAGATCAGCCGAAAATCCATTGCCTGAATTCGACTTAGATGCATTGTCAGAGCTCAAATATGTACGACCTTCAACAGAATTCATATCTGACATTTATTGATTGATAGACTCAACGACTTCCAAAGTAGGCGCTAATATAGCTCTGTCCTTCAAATAAATTAGATCGTCAGTTGCATTTTTGAACATTGGATAGGTACTTTCGACGATTGTAGCTATTGGATCATCTGAGGTTTCCAATTGTATATCCTCTGGAATGTCAATCGCGGCACAACCGTCGTTTGATCCTCCTATAGTCCCATCTCCAATGCTCGCAATCCACTCAGCAAATGTTGTTTGCTCATCACATTCGTCTGCATCTGAAATGCTCTGAAGACGCATGTTTTTTGCAAGTCGCAACACAGTACAATTCCTCCAAATGTCGGAAGAATTAATAGCTGCGTTCACAATGTCCTGACGACTCCCCTTTGGAATCACTGGAAGTATTTGTCGAAAGTTTCCACCAAATACAACAGGTTTGCCTCCGAATGGCTTGTTACTGTTGGAAGGGTCCAACAGGGTCAACTACTCCAATAATAGCCTGCAATGATGTTTGGACAGCTTCGAAGCAATGTTTGTGCATCATCGGCGCCGCGTCCCATATAATGAGAGAGCATCGTATTATCAGTTCCGTAAGAGGACTTGTCTGGTCAATATCGCAGGATGAATTTTCATGAATACTCAGCGGTATGCGAAATTGAGAGTGTGCAGTCCTTCCACCAAGCAACAAAAGAGACGTTATTCCACTTGATGCGACACATAAAACTATTTTACCCTTCGATCGTAACCCCGTAGACAACGTTCTCCACAAGTAGGACTTCCCAGTCCCGCCATATCCGTATACAAAAAATACACCACCATTAGCAGAATCTACAGCGTCTGTGATCTTTGAATAAACGGTCTTCTGCTCGTCGGTCATTCTACTAAGAAGTGCTTCGTGCTCCACAGATAAAGCCTTCCGATCGTAATTTAGCTCATCCAATATTAAGCGATTCGAAGTAGAGTTACTATGATCTCTAATTGGATAGGCATGGATGAATAATCACGAAGACTTGTGCCGCGCCTTCTCAACAACGTCTCAATTTCGCTTAGGGTGAGATTCTTTATAACATCATCACTGAGCCGCAAATCTAATTTATCTCTCTATTTTTTTTACGTGAACGCTGTGAATGTAAAATAATTGTGGTACTGAATGTCCTTTTATACAACTTTAATTGTGTATAGTTTTATTTCCTATTTTTTATGCCGCTTTTTAAAAATAAATCCATATAGATACATCCATATATTTTGCGAATCTACATAAAGATATCAAAGTATTAAATGAATAATACATTTTCTATTTGAAAGCAAGAGATTCTAAATTCCATATTGCTCAAAGATATCAAAGTATTAAATAAAAAAATAATTTTTATTTGAAAGCAAGAGATTTTAAATTCTATATTGCATATGTAATTACTAAAATTGGGGAAAAAATGGAAAATATAATGAGAGTATGTTAAGTAGGTAATATAATTCCGCCCAACACATCAATTAAGAGCATATTGTTTTGAATTTTTATTCCATATCATAAATAAAAAAAAACGGAAAAACATATCTAATATAATTAGGCAATAATTAATGAAAGCTTGTTAAGTTACTATATGTAGGCAATAATTAATGTTTTTGGCAGGAAAAGATTATTAAAAGTGAATTAAGTTAATTCTTATTATATATTAATAGATGTAACACTTTTAATTTAAATCACTTTATTTCTTAAGTGAAAAAAAAAAACGATTTACAAAAAGAAAAATAGAGTTTTTAAATTATTTTGTAAGATTATTGAAATCCAAATGAGATTGTGTATAATATGTTTGTAATAGTTCATGAATAATAAATTAGTATTTAAATGAAAATTCTACCAAAATTTGAATTACAGTATATATTTATAACTTTTGAAAATCTATATATATATAATTGCTGGCTAATAAGCATTTAATAAAACCTATTAAATTATACCTATGTGGCAATCTAATTTTTTCCCTCCAAAAACCGTTACTTTTTATATATTTAACTTCTCATTTAATTATTAAATAATCAACACACTAATCACTTCAAAATTACAAATATCATTTTAAATTTTTCATTTACTTACAACTGATCATATAATGTATTGACTATTTAATGTGATTAGATGTTATTAATGTAGTTACATTTAAATTTACTTCTTTTGAAAAATAAAAATGTATTTGAAATTCCTAAATAAATAATAAATAATTTCACAAAAAAAGATACATATCAAAATATATATTACATCCAATATGATAAACACAATTTTGAAAAAAATAAATATTTCAGTTTAATTGTAAATTTGGCAAAAATCATTAATCATTATATGAATACAAATAACTCACAATACTTTATTTATATATCTGTGCAAATGCACAGATTGAATACTAGTAAGTATAATTAATTAGATCAAGTGAAATAAATTATGTCACTGTAAACGGAAAGATTATATGAATAATATTTTAAAACTTTTGCTAACGTATATCAATTGAATTACAATTGTTATATTTAGTCAATAAAAATAATGACAAAAGTAACTTTTTTCAACAAGATAAGCAAACAAAATTGTAAATTATCACATGCAATTAACCTTGTAAAAAATTTCACTTTAGTTTTATTGTGCATATTTTCAATCTTCCCAAACTAAAAATTTTTTTTCCAACAAACAAGATTAACTTTAACATGAAGTTTTTTTAACCAAAATATTCATACAATCTTTTTATCATGACTTCTAATCAATATAATTTGTAATCCAATTTTTATATTAGAAATAATTCATTATGTAATGTACTTATTTATTTGATTAATTGAAAATAATAATGCAAAAAAGCTGAATAGACCACAAAAATATAAAATAAAGACATAATTTAAACATCACATAAAAATATATATCATGTATCACGTGCATAGTGATGTAGTGCATAGTGATGTAGAACGTTATACGAACGGGAAGAAAATTGAAATTCTCTCTCAAGAACAAAACGAACTATCAGATAAAATTTTCCAATTCAACAACCTTTCCTTCATCTCCATAGCTTCATTCTAGAGCTTCTTTCATGCTTCTTTGTCCTCCTTAACCACCAAGACCACGACCTCCACTTCCTCCGTGAACTCCCCTGCGTACACCCCGGTTGCCGGCAGTACAGTTCATCTGCAAATCCCAGACCACGGATTGAATTGCTGCAAAGACACATGTACACGTCTCCATATGCATAACCCACACAACGAAATTAACACCAAACATACTACCCAAAACCCTAATACTAACTTGTCCAACAAGACAAGAATCCTTACTAAGTATTAAACAATATTAAATCTCTAATATATAATAATAATAATAATAATAATAATAATAATAATAATAATAATAATAATAATAATAATAATAATAATAATAATAATAATAATAATAATCTACACCATTCTCCTCCGGTTCGGAAGGCTTCGCCCTCGAAGCCAATACGCACCCGTGGCTGGCGTATAGTGGCGAACCCATGGTAGTAACTCCCGTCGTTTCCCCCGGTCGAACACGAAGGTTGATGTTCTAGCTGTTGGGGACCTCAAGCTCGAGGAGGAGGAAATGGTGGTTAAGGAGGACAAAGAAGAATTGAAGAAGCTCCAGGATGAAGGAAAGGTTGTTGAATTCAACAAGATGAAGGAAAGGTTGTTGAATTTTGTTGAATTGGAAAATTTTATCTGATAGTTCGTTCTGTTCTTCAGAAAGAATCTCAATTTTCTTCCCGTTCGTATCACGTTCGCACGTGCACTTTACTAGTATTAAATATTAATATAAATAGAGTTTTCTAGTTTCAAAACTCTTTCCGACGTTAAGCTCGACGATTGATTGATTGTTCGTGAAAAATTGAAACTATGCAATCTCCCCCGTGAAAGTAATAGACCTAAATTACAGCTCCCGCTCTACAAATACCCCTTAGTGTGTCCAAAGATGGGCCAGCTGCAAAAATTTCAATAAAAACCAGTCAAAATCATCATCAAAAGCAGTAAATTGTTTTTACTTTTTAAACAGTAACACTAGTCAAACAAGCTTTACCGATTAAACTGAGTCGGACTGGCATCAGCAACCATCACAGATAGATTTTCACGAGAACCATCACTTGTCCTTGCTAAACCCAATTTCACCATATTTCCAGTCTTGTCCCATATTAGGTCAAAGAACTGGGAAGAATATATGTGCTGTCAATATTTTCTAAGACAAAATAATAAACAAACAGAAAAGAAAATTAGTAACAGCAATATATACCTGTAAGTTACTAGTAATAGCAACTCCATCACATTCAACTATAACATCATTTGGTTGCACGCTTACAGAACCAGCTGGGGAATTCGGAGCAACCTGGAGGACATTCAATGACGAAAGAGACAATTTTCATGTGATAAATTACAATCGATTTGACAAGCGAAATATTTATGCAGTTTTGAGCTTTAATGTGCAGCATTAACATTTTAAGTTTTAGAAATTACTGAAATTTGTTTCTATTTCAAATTTAGGAATTAATAATTTTTAGCAAACTTAACTGTGATCAATTCTTCCCTAAAGCTAGATAAACGTGATTCATAAACCAGTTATACAAAAAGATTTAAATTCATGTTCACTGAAAGAAACAAGCTCGGCTCATAAAAAAATAAAATAAAATAAAACTACAAAAATAGTTCCTACCTCATCAACTAGAACGCCCATTTTTATACTCGGAAACTTTTGTATGATCTTCTCCCAGGTCCATACTTCAACAGTGAAGAGATTACTCAATTCCATCCCAAGCCAAGGTCGACAAGAGTTCCTACAACAAAGCTCTATTTAGTATTTAATAGAAGTATCTACAACGCATGAGATATCTAAAACAAAATGAAAGAATGAAATATATATAATTGACTATTGGAGTGGGGATGAAATTAAAACTTCGATCAATATTTATTAGAAAAATGGTCACTAATAAAACCATCAACCATGTCCCTATAAAATATGGATATTCTCGACTGCATCAATATTTTTTAAATTCGAAAGCAGTATGTAACTTACTTATATTTCCTATAATGACTCCACCATTTGGAAACTATGTTGATAGGTAGAAAAGGAGTGAAATCGAAATGAAAGAAGTTGACTCCGATCACCTCTGCTTTCCGGTTGATCATTGGGCCCCCAATGCCACACTATCACGTGAATGAAAAATCAAAAAATTAGAAAATAACATTGAACATAAAAATCAAAACAAATACAAGGGTATCGCCCCTATATATAATTCCCGAATGCGCTGAGCCTACGTGGCTGCTTCTGGTGCTTCGGAATCCTACTTGGCGAAGAATCATGCTTCGTAATTAGGTTCGGACAAATAATATTGATATATTAATAATTAATATCTAGGTTCGGACATTCCATAAATATTATTGAGCTAACTTAGGTATTTTAATATCACTTGTATTAATATAACCTTTTAATTCTTTGTAATTTTACATAGTGAGACACTAAGTGACTAATATATCCCTGACTTTTGATTTGTTTCCTTCAATTAGCTATTGAATTATAAATGTATTTTAAAAGTTGATAACTTTTGTATTTCTTATCGGTTTTACATATATAATATATCAAATTAATCAGCTTTTCATTATCTTCGATTTGACATCCATATTGTATATATAAAATAAACAAATAATATTTACCTTTATAATAATAAAAAATACTATTTATTAAATTTTATTAGAAAAATAAAATTATTTCTCAGTTGATATATTTTTGTTTAATGTAGTTATATGTTGTAAGTTAAAAAAATTATTATAATATAACACAAGTCACACAAATAAAAGTGTCATACTAAATATATAATAATATATATTTTTCATAAAAGTTATTTAAATTTTCAACTACTTTTTCTCAATAATTTTAGATTTTAAGAAAAAAATTAGCAAACACCCGTGTAATACATGGGCGTTGTACTAGTAAGTAAGTTTACTCAAGAACAAATCGCAACCCTCTGTTAAGTTGGATCCAATGGATTTAAAATTGGAGCCAATTTGGTTAGAGAAATGGATATATTTATATCCTTTTAATCCATCATATCATACCTTACAAACCTAAGGAATAGAAATCGTACGAATTCGCTATATAAAATTTTATAATTGTGCACTTAAAATATTATTATTTTGAAAATCAATTTACAAATTGGTAGACAATTTCAGATTTAGAAGTACAATATTACAGAATTAGATATCCATTAATGCACATTCAGAAATCCATGGGCGCATATTTATAGTCTATTAACGCACAAGTCAAAGTATATATACACACTGCATAATGTGTACATTTATTTGCCAATCTATTAGATCTGAATTCATTAAATGGCCATAGTTTAGTATTTTATATTTTCGGCAATGATAAATTTTCAATCAACATCTTGACTCTTCTTTACTCCAACATCACTTCAATTATTTGTAAGGTTCATATGTGTGAAAATCAAATAGAGATGATGTGAAGAAAAATGATTCTTACCTGAGTGATTCTGCCAGTTGATCTCAACAGCTCTTTACAGTCGAGTCGGCATTGTTCAACACTACAAAGGAAATATAACTTGTTGCAATCACGAAAGCATCTTATTAAATCAACTTGATAATTTTCATCTAAAAACCAACGTTACAATTTTTCATCATTTAAGCTATCCAACAAACCACATCGTATCAGAGCAGTTTCATGCAAAGCTTTTCAGCATTCTTCAAACAATAAATGTACAAGCTTAAAATATCAATGTCTCCAGTTGCAATTTCTATGACACAACTCACAATTTTGCAGATACAAGTTTAAGAGAGTCGACATTTGTTTGTTAAAATGATGTTACAACAAAACATTAATGTTAATAACCAGATAAGTGTGAGGAACACCCTTAAGGTGGTTCAATAGCACTATGGCATTAATGGGCCAGGTCCCCTCTCTCTTTTTCCTCACTATTATTCTTTTTGTTAACCCTTCTTTCTCTCGTTGAAACCTACTATTGTTTCTCATTTTTTTCCTATTGTTTTCTTTCAAGGTATCTTTTTTTTTTTTTTTT